CAATGCACTTTCAACTCTAGACCTTTGTCTCGTTGATTATGGTTCTGTGAATACTATAAGGTATATGTCGAAAGCAAAACTATCAATCATGATTGCGTGGGTGTACGGCCCACACAGCTTGGATGGAAAGCAACCAACGATCGGTACGGCACGGAACGTGTCGATAACTGTCGGTTGAAGGGTTAATAAAGAAAAACGAGCTGTTTTACCACGTCATAATCATAATTTAACTAGTCACTTTTCAGCGTTATTATTAGTTTACAATTTAAACATTAAATTACATCAGTGCTTCGAGGCATCGTAGTCGGTACTGCTAACGAGCTTCTGTCTTTGCAATCCTGTTTCTCGCTGGCCACCGCTCGCAAATTTCACGCAGACAATTCGTACGATTTCCGCAATTGACCGGTTGCCCACGCTCCTCGATTGTACGATAGCGAAAATTTACTACGAACGCGATTAGTTTATTTCGACGAATCCGCACGTCCGAAGGACAAGACACAACATACGAAGAACACATGATCGATGCGCGTGATTGACAAGTAATGATCGTAGAGACACGTATGTACACGGAGTCAACTGTTTACAATAAATAAGTCTTTAATAAATATACTACTAGATTAATAGATCGTTCCTACAAAGATTCGTAGCGAGGTCAAGATCATTCGACGGCGGACATTTCCCTCCCGTAATCGCGAGAATCTTAATCGAGATTCAAGGAGACGCATGGCAGAATCTCTCGGAGACGTTGACGGCCAGAGCCGGGCAAAATTCTTCTCTTTATAACAAATGAAAGATGAACAAATTTTTATCCGCTACTTTTACGACAGAAGTCAGAATTTTAATTGTACAAGGGAAATATTTCGCAATGCTGGAATAAAAATTGAATCGTTCGATTGAATAAATGGCTCGAATTAATCGCTGCGTGGCGGTACGTTCATCCGTTATTCGAACGAAACGTTGCCCATCTCTGGTTACGACTGGTTCCTACTGTACTTTACAAATCCTTGGCGTTCTGTGAAAAGTATAAAATGCAACTAGATCATCGAGCGAGGCTCTAGACGATGAACATTCTCGGAATCGCAGTATATTTCATCGCGTACGCTAAGATTTTTTCAATTGCTAATAGTATCTCTTCTTTGAAAATTCATAAAAATACCACGTCGGTGCCGTTTCTTTTTCTCGAAGCTTCGTCGAGGTTGCGAGGTATGTACCTACGGATATCTTTAATCACTGATATCCTTTGCAACGTTAATCGTGCCGCGGGCAATAAATAATTTACGAACGAGATTTTAAACATTCATCTACGACCATTTCAGGCCTGGATTACGGGATCAATTTCTTTTTAAAGCAATTTTTGACAAATAGAAAATCTGTCGAAGAACAGTAGAATTTGGCTCTTCTAAGACAACGTTAACTTAAAATATTATTACAAATAGCACGTTATCTTACTTCACAGTTATTTTATTCTTAGAATATTTCTGTTTTTGCAATAACGAAATAATACAATACTCTTGCAATTAATGAACGTATCTAAAACTGTGATGATCCAAAATTAGAAATAAGTGTGATTATATAGATGCAATTGGAAGATATTTTTAATAAAATGACACTGATTCAAACAAACGAGGAAATTAGCATAACAAGTATATTTCGTTGATATTTAATCCACTTGTCAAGAATATTGCCTTTATTACTTATATCGAACAGTTATGTTTTATTTTAATTTCAAATCAGATTTGCTCAGATCCGACATAAATGTAAGTATGCGCGAATATCGTGATTGGCTTAAAATATCAGTTTGATAAATCAGTCGAGCCGGAAAGGGTGAAAAGCAAGAAATTTCGAAAACTCGAACACACTGTTGCGGATGATTACAGTAGTTCGGAGGCAATGCATCTGCATTTCGTATTCTCGCGGGTCAGGCGATAAACGATACAACGGTTTCATTCGATCGACATCAGTGATAAATGAACACAACAATCGTGTCCGCGTCTCGCAACGTCCGCGTAGCGGCAAGATGAATTATTTTTCGTGAAAGTCTATCGATCAATCTTATTATAGAGTTACAAATTTCTGACAGTCAGGCATCGCCGTCGATAGAATACAATTTATCCTTAACGTTAATTTTACGAGTAAATATCTCTAACAGCGTAATACTCTTCTTAGTAATTTAATACTTTGGATCTTTCCACAAGAACCGTACGAATTATTAAATCGTTTCCCCGTTCGGGATTTAATTTCCTTCTCGATTTGCTTACTCGAGCAGTTATTCGTATCTCTCCTATCCGTAATTGCTTCGTTCGAGAATACTTGCTGTTTCGCACGACAGTCTAAAATCACACGAGTGATCATTTCACGTTCTCGCATTAAATTACAACGACGAAGAAATCAATTTCGCATTCCCAGCGAGCAGTTGCCCCGCGAGCAACGCCGCTTTTAAACTTAACAGCTTTCCTCGTCTTTACCCTAAAAGGAACGTCCTCGCGATACGTCTTCGGACATCGCCGTTAATTCTGCTAATTAATTTAAGTCGAAGAGAGAAGAACGTTTATCGGTATCCTGATTTTCTTCTATTCTAATCGCCGCCGCGACCAACTCATCGTCGCGTCGATGCTACCTACGAGCAGAGACGGGAAAAATTCTTATTTGGATTCGAATTTCAAGTAACGAATGCAACGAGAACTTGAGAACTTTTGATTCGTTATTTGTTGAATTAAAATTAGAATTTGAATAGTAGAATGTCATTGTATCGCATTTCATTGTAAAAGAGCAGAAATTCGTCTGCGTGACTTCTCGCATGGTATCTGTGTCTTTATTCTTTGTTTATTATTCGTAAAATCAAATTTTGCCTATCTCTGCCGACAAGCCTCCGTGGCGTCTGTTTCGTCGATCTAGTCTCACCCGCGTGATCCATCCAGAGTTGAGTAAATTTCTTGTCTAAATACAAATATCGAATGGAAGGTTTTAATTTCGTTATTCGTCCACTGAAAATTACAATTTTAAATTAGAAATTTAAATTATATTTTACTTTAACAATCGTGTGTCTGAAAGATTTCAACCATGCGCTGTTAATTGTATTACTTATACGTTTCGCTTTGATAAAACCGGCAGACATCGTCGCTGCCTCGACGCTTGTTTAATTACTGTTAAACGTTGATTAAAAATCGCCACGCGGTGTCTAAATAAAGAATAAAGAAATTACAAGAAGTGGAAGAAATTTTGCCCATCTCTGGCTCCATCCTCGCGTCTCGAAGTCGCGTATTGTCTCGTTTCTCGTTGCTCCTCGCGCTCGCTAAAATACTATCGTTGCTTCTCTTACTCGTGAAACGCTCGCCGCGCTAATTAGGACAGGTTTTCGTCGAATAATGTACAAGGTGTTCCCTGTCGCCGGAAGGGAAGATCGTACTGGGTGTCGACGGGAGAGAATCAGCCCTGGTTGATGGGACGAGACGCGAGCACGACTCCGAAGAAGCCGCCAATGTCTTTACACAACTTTTCTGGTATTAGCTTAGCACCCATCAAACTTCAACAATTTTAAATCTGGATGGAAAAAAAGAAACTGTGATCATTTTTGTTTCAAAATTTAATAATATCAAGTCAATTTCCTGGTAAGAAAGCTATACCTACGAAGTTTATTTTTTTTTTTTATATAAAAAACAAAATTCAGGCTCTTTATAAATAATATAGTACCAGTAAACTATGCACCAGAAATTATTACTGTTGCCTAGTTCAACCAGGATCAACTAGATGGGACTTACTAATGAGTTTCGTTTAATTAAATTAATTAGTTAATTTTGCCTTCGTTCCTAAGATATTACGTATTACACAAAACAGTTTTATTTTGATCTCTTCGGACCCAATTTATTTGAAAACTACAAATAAATATTGCCGCTATAAACTATTGACATTTTATATGAAATTCTCTACAATAGAGAAACACGGTAAAGTCTCGGAAAGATAATACTGTTTGTTTTGTTTTGAATATGCCAACGCGCAACGTTTTACAATCTACACTGAAAGTGAGATATAAGGTTTTGGTGATTTTGGGAATTCGATGCGCATTGCGATGCGCATCGAATCTGAAGGGATTCATATACCGTGGACCACTGATCGGATGGAAGAACCACTAAGAGGTAAGTGGTCTGGGCCACTTTGGGTTTCTAAGAAGTCTTGCGTTGAGATATCGAACAGGTATCGAAATACGTATTGAATAGCAAGCTGTGCGGCAAAGGTACCGATAATTGACCATGTTCCAAAATTGGGCAATTTTTATTCCAAATAAAGAAGAAAAGTTCCAGATTTATTCGTAAGAATAAAAACAAATGAATCCTTCGACCACTGTTCCTTCCCCACAAGTACTTCAGCGTCGTTTGCATCAGAACAACCAAAGGATTCGTCTGTTTTTATTTTTATAAATAAATCTGTAATATCTTGTCTTTATTTAGTAGCACTTTCTAGTAGTCGACAGATTAGATGGTGTTCAGTCATGAATTAAACTCTCTATGGGGCTAACCAATCCGAAGGTTTTCTTAAAAACACCTAATTACAGCAATCTATTCGAATTGTAACTTTTACAACCGCTGGACAATAAAATTAAATCCTGAAGCGAATGTTTGGATAACACTAAATCCTCTGAACTCTATAGCTCAAGTTCTATTCCACCGTGCAGAATTTTACTAATTTTTCGTAAGAAGAATACGTAAGAAGGACGTATCGAACTAGTGCTCCCACCGGTCGCGAGCAAAGATCACATTACGCGTATGATCAGGTCTTGAAATAATTAAGCGTGCTTCATTTCCGTTGCTACAAACATCGACAGTGGCACATGCCGTTACTCGCGAGCATTGAGCCGTCCATGTCGTTCAATGCACTAGATCAGTCATGGGCAATTAGCTAATCGCGAACAACAATCACACCACGCACGTACTCAGATCTTGAAATAATTAAGCGCGCGATGCTTCATCTCCGTTGCTATAAGGATCAACTGTGGCATATGCCGCTGCTCGCGAGCCTTCGGTTGCCCATACCGTTCTATACATTAGATCAGTCACGAGCAATTAGCTACTCGCGAACGACGATCACACCACGGATTTACTCGGACCTTGAAATAATTAAGCATTCGACGTTACATCTCCGTTGTTGTAACCGCCATCAATGGCACACGCTGTCGCTCGCAAACACCCAGTTGCCCGTGGTTGCGTGAGCCAGAAGAATCGAGTTCGTCCGTGTTTATACCCTGAAACGGAAATGGTATCCATGGTAGCGGCTGATCGCGAGCGGCCGACAAATTCATTCATTTTCCATCGGATTACAAGTATTACCAGGGCAATCGCCATTAAGAAAATACCCGGCGCGAATCGCGTTCGGTTGGCCCCTCTCGTAATTAGCTCATTCGCTATACTCGCGAACGGTCCCGGAACGCGGCCTCAGCTCTTTGCACCGCGACAGGGACCTGCTCGAAGATTAAACGCGAGTTACGTGCTCGTTACGCGGCCCCGCCGTTTGATACAACCCGTCTCTTCCCGTGCATAATTACGTCTCTCGGAGTAACGAGGGGCTGAGAGCGAGAGAGGGAAGAAAGAGAGTCGTCTCAGTCGACACGCTTTTTCGTGACGTACCATCCCAGGGCCAAACGGGCTGTTCCACGTACCCAGCCTCCTTCCGTCGACACGGACCGCGTCTTTTTGCGACGATTATTGGAAAAGTGGCTCGGGAATCGATAGGAATCAAGATCGATCGTTAGCCGGAGATGTTTAGATGATGTCTAGATGACTTCTCTTTGTTCGCGAACATTGGAAACTCTTTTTCCGATCTGTTCAAGTAGTACTGGTAGTTTGATGGATGACTTTTGCTTTGTTTTAGTCAAGACTAAATATTGATCTCGTCGAGAACTGCCATCCCATTTTCGCGACGTACAATTGTAATTCTTTACTTTTGTTCGATAGTCGTTGTATTCAACGAATTCGAATATTGATATTCTCGTTCCAGATTCTGATAGTGAAGACAGTTTGTTACTACGATAGCGAAGAAATCCTACAGTTAACCGACGAGTTTAACTCGAGGTTACAAACCCATGCACATCGCTTTTCAATACAGAGTTTTAAATTAAACGAACAAGAAAGTTTCTTTTAGTGTTTTGAAACAACTGTCTCGATAATTGTGATTAAATGAATTTTCGATAGAGCAAGAGGACAATTATTTTTTTGCACGAGTGTGTATCTTCTGCATCTACCCAGTTATATGACCCATGAGTCTGTACCCAACAAATATATTCTCTTCAAATTAAAAAGAATTATCAAATGTAACATGAAAAACACCTCGGTTCGCGAATTATTACAGTATAGTGACTATGTTTGACCATTCACCATCTCGCCACTAAATAGAACATCTCAGTTCGCGAACTATTATAATCACCATCTCTAAACATCTAAATACGTGGAGATGAAATAACATCAATCCGAAAAAGCCTAGAAATAAATCACATCGATCTTGACTTTTCCAATTCCCGTAGCACCGGCAGTTCGAACACCGGAAATTCCCCGGAGCACGCGCGATGCGCACGCGATCGTCGTACATGAATGTGAAGTATGTCGTAAATCGTAACGTAGTATGAATACTATGTACACGTAAGTTTACAATGATTCCCGTGGACACGATCGGTCGTGCCGAAAGCGAACGGGCGCCTCACATGGCCAAACTCTCGAGCGAAATCTCCGGAGTGGTCGACTGTATAGTTTCCGGCGTGTCGAGCCTGTCGTCTGGATTGTCGGGATCCTCGAGCGATCCGGACTCGTCTTCCGGCAACCTGAACTTGGTCGGCGTGCCAGTGGTTTCGATCGAGGTGGCCAAGGTCGACTCTAACGTAGCGGGTTCGTTCGATACCGTCGAAGACGGATTGTTGTCGTTTGATAAGGACTCGATCGACGACTTGGAGGCGTCCACCGCGATCGATTCCGTGGAGGAGCGGCTCGAGCTTCGGAAGGATCGATCGGAAACGGTCTCAGGAACTTTTGGGGTCGCAGATTGGGTAGTTAGGTCGGGCGTCGTCGTCGTCTTCGTACGATTTCTCGCGAAAGCTTTCGAGACGCCGGGCTCGTTGTTCGCGGGGGAGGTCGGTTTGGTTCTGCGCCTAGGCGAGGTTCCTCTCCCTGAAGGGACGGTTGACGCACCAGGAGACCACCAAGAGGAGGATGACGTTGCGTAGGTCGGTGCGGAAGTTGCCGTGCGCGCCGCAGACGTGTTGCCCGTTCCGCCAGGCGTGAACCTCTTGCGGCCCAGAGTCACCGCTGGCTTCCTCCTCGCTGGCGGGCCCTTCTTCTTTTTCTTCTTCCCGTCCGTCAAATTAGGCTTTTTACTCTGACTCATGCTGCCAGCGGCGCTTACTTTTTTTGCATTTGACGCTGGTGGTTTGCTCTTACCGTTGCTCGCGGTGACGTTCCGGCCGCCGGCTGGTCCGTCGGTCGCCTCTTCCACCCGCAGCTTCCGCTTCTTGGATGGAACTGAGAGGGCCTCTCTTCGACAGACCTCCTCGCTCGCCGCGCCCTCGCAGGATCTCTTCGACTCCGGGGAAGTCCCGTTCGAGCGCGGACCCTCGCTCCTGGCCGCATGCCCGTTGCTCTCCTCCGTGATTTGGCACTGAGGACCAGGCTTCTCGCCCGGCCTGCACCGCCGTTTCCTCTTCTTCCTCTTCTTTCGTTTGCGACACCTGAACTTGTCCCTGCCGTCCTTTTCCTGGACAGGAAGAGTGGGGCAGAGAGACTGCTGGACCAAGTCCCCTCGATGGCTGTGATGTCGGTGCCGGACGTTGTGATGAGCGCCCAGCATCCGCCTCTGCAGAGCTTCGACTCGCTCCGACGAAGCGACCTGAGTCAACACTCTCGCGTAGGCGGACAGTCTGCCCAGGTTGTGACCCTTGGCCTGTACCCTCCTCGGCTGGCCACGACGGTTCAGACCCAGGTAAAGCGTCTTCTTCGTCGTGGACCATTTCGCCGAACTGTACGTGTTGTAGTTGTGTTGCTCCAGGGTCTCGTTGAACACGCAGTCGTCTGTGTACTCGCGCTGAAACAGAACGTGGAAAGCGACTGGTTACTATCAGAATACAACGACCATCGAACAAATTTAAAGAATTACAACTTTATGTAGTAAATGACCACGCAAATGTCCTTCGCAACGGACATGTGTTACCAGTCTTTGTCGCTAACGTTCAAAACAGTTATTCTGCTTAGATTATATTGCAAGCTAGAAAATGTTTTACATCGAACGGCAATGTCCACGTGTCGTTAACTTGGGTATGGATCGTGAAACATCGGCTGGGAGGTAGTCATTTAACTGCGATTTAATTGCGTAAGCCTGCCACTTCTCGTTAGCGAAACATCGAGCGAAAGCCTTTTTAAGAGATTCGCTTTTTCCCCTATTTAATATCATCGTAACTATTTGAATTCCGAACGTCCTTCAAGTATTTCTTATTTATTTTGTTGCCTATCTGAATGTGATGTGCTGTCGTCAGCTTTTTTTAGGCGCAGATTTGAATGTTTGCAAAATTATTTAATTTACTTTACAATGACACCATCGATGGATTTTCGAAAACGTACAACATAGGTGGCATTCCAGGCGGCATCTTCATAAGACGAGGCCGTACAAATGCTCGTACCCCGCTATTGATAAATGCCTCAACCATTGGTGGCAACTATGTTGAAAAATAATCTAAGCATCGTGTACTTCGTTACGCGATAAAACTGTTTCTCTAATAATGGTTTCCTTTCGCTTAATTGCTTAACGTAACTTACTTTCTGGATCGCCTTGATAGCAGTACCAGCTCCATCTAGAGAGGCGTTATCATCACCTAGGTGGACATTACTCTTGTAACATAGTTTCATGAAAGTAATAATCGCTCCTGCAACCTAAGACCGCGGCTCAGCCGATGACCCGAAAATCACAAACACGTTCGGAATCGCGCGTCATTCGATTTAATGGAAAGGATATCCTCTGAATATTCCCAGAAGCTTCCAAGGATCCAGCGATCGTTATCAATTCCGCGCGGCTATTATTCGTCATTATCACTTTGTAATTGCACGGCTGAGCGTTGGGGCCGCAGAAGCGGAGAAGCGGCGCGCGAGTATGTCCTCCCGTTTAACACGCAATTCCGTTTCGCCGAGCGACGCGTAAAACGGGGCTAACATCGCGGCGAAATATTAACGACGCTTCCCGATGGAAGACTCGAACGAGCATTAAGCATAACGCGGAACCAGCCCGACCGGACAGCGGACGAGCCGCCGCGGCGAGCATTATGTTTTCGCTAGTGTTGCGCCGCGCTATGATTTTCTCTGTCCGCTTTATGGTAACTCGTTTCTAGATGAGCGGAAGTGGCCGCGGTCTTCATCGTCTCTAATTACAGCGTTTAAACGCTACGCCGGTTGAAAAATCCGCTGGCAGAACGCGAGCGTAAAGATACGCGCCAAGTGAAAAACCGACTTTATGGCGCCGAAACCGATGGTGGTGTTTTCATACGCGGCACAATTTACGAGTCCCCTCGAACAGGGAAATTGTATGGGATCCAATCCGTTCGCGACGGTTCCGTTTATGCCCGTGCCTGGCTGAATTGTGACTTATTTTTCCGACGTACGTCGACCGGCGAGTTTTATTGATTGTTAAGAGCAAAGAGGTACCCAGTATGCGGGCTCCGAGAACACCTAGAAGGCGTGTCTCCCCTTCGCAAGTGCTATTGGCGAAAATAATAAACAGCTGACCATATCGAGGGGTTTATGGGTGAATAACATTGACGAGGATGAGCCGAGTAACGATTGAAATTGAATGAAATTATTTCAATTTTAAGCCACCGAGCTCCATTTTAATTAAACGGCCGAAAGAGATCGAGTAGATCCGCTTCTGCGAAAGTACTTCAGCGATCATTCGGACGCGGAGTTCGCAAAATTTATGGATTTTTCATTGGTCACCGTTCAACTTCGACGATGAGCTATAATTGTGCAAACCTTCTTTATTTTTCACCCAAAACGGGTTTCGAGATCTTATCAGGTATATCTTATCTTATCAACGGTATCGATCTACTTTGGTGATATTAATCAGATACTTGCGAAGTCTACTTTGAAAGGGTACAACTGTAGGGTGCTGTACATTCAGTAGAACCCTCATTTTCGAAGCTTCTGCGACTTAAACACATTACTCTTCGACTGTTCTATTATTCATGTATGTATGTATACGAGTATACGCATCGGATGTTCTTGGGAAATGTTTCATATTTACCCTGGTGATCTAGTTTGATGGGATACGATCTTACAATTATTAAGCTGCTCTATCATCTACACAGATCATGTTCTCGTCAAGTGTCCGCGTTTCTTATTTACACTGCAGTTCTACTCTAATAGGATACAATCTTAGGAAGTTGCTCTATTATCACGCTTATCACGTCCCTGAGAAGTTTTCCTTCTCCTATTTACCTGCAGTTCTACTTTGATGGGATACGCACCGAGTTAATGGTTTTAGAAGTACAATGGAGCCTTCATTATCTAAATCTCTGTTATTTAAACACTTTACTATCCTAAATACTCGATTACACACGCGTAGCACGTTCTTGGGAAGTGTTTCTTCTCTTATCGAACCTTTTGATCTACGTTGATAATAAGATGGAATCGTAGAAAACTGCTCCATTATTTATACGAAGCACGTCTTTGTAAAGTATACACTCTTTGATTCTATCTGTTTGATTTTGACGGAGAGCTAGGATACTAGATTTGCTAAAGTTCTCTATTATCGGAATGTTTTCTCTTTCGAATGCTTTACTATTTTTGCTATCTCTCGCGTGAAATATTTTCTTTATTCGTACCTGTCAAGTGTGTCGAGTAGGCGGCCAGCTTCAATTTTTAGATAAATGTTTAGAAGAAATAAGTTTGCCTTTTGCTCATCAGGGTTCCTCATAAATGTCACATTTGTAACATTTGCGACCGGTGACGTGAATTCACGTCACTTCGAATTCTATTTCTGGTTATAAACAAAATTATGAAAATCCGTTTATTTATCTTAGGCTAAAAAATTCGGATACTCCTGCCACGAACAAATATTTAATCGAATAAACAGTTACGTAAGAATCGTATCAGTCGTCTGTTATTATTATTCGCATAAAATTTTGCCCATTCCCGAGTTACACGTCTTAACTACACGCCATCGGTATAAAACTCGTGCACCGTGGGGGAAAAAACAGATATTAGGAGCAGAAAAAAGACGAAGCGTTTCCGTAAAGTGTTCTACGGATGAGAATGATCTTTAGCGAGCGATGAACGTCTAACGTTTCATTTTGCCGAGCAACCGTGGGGAGCGTCTATCTTTCGAGAAGCTGAAATTTTCATCATTATAAAAATCTTTTCCTATCGAGTTGGTGGAAACGTAACCGTTCTTTCGCGATGCAAATTTGTGTGGAGCAGGTTTACAGAGCGTGTAATTAGAAAAAAGGATACAACGAAGATGCGTAATCTCCCAGAACAAGACGTAATTACAGCGAAGTTAGAAATATTGTGGCTCGGTCACTGACAGGCGATCAGGAATCTTCAATTATCCGCGCCAGAGCTTCGCGGAAGTTATCTTCATTGTCACTTCAGCATGGCATACGGAAAGTGTTATCTTAGATGGGATTCTTATTAGGAAGACGATCACTTTGGGAATCTCACTGACATTTTTAAAGCGTTATAAAAGTTTAGGTCGTCGTGTACATACTTTTTGTTTACATTTAGCACGTATTTATTATATTAGTTGATATCATATATGCATCAAATCCGCAATCCAGTGATACCACTTTCGAATAAATCGCGTTGAGTACTATTTAGCAGAATTTTATTTAAAAAAAAACGCTTGCTCTATTGTATTTTATTTGAGCACATAACGAGAAATGTTGTTCGCCATTGGCCCGAAAGATCAAACTTGAAACTTGAATGGTCAGTCCATAAACAATCTCTCTCGTCGTTAAAGGAAAGTTTCATCGTTATGGGCAGAATTAACAAGGGCCACGTGTCGTCGGCGTATATCGGCTGATTCACAAAGACAGCGTAAAGAAGCTGATTTCGATGATTTCGGCCGCGCATACCTCATCGGAGCTGTCGACGGCAAGACGAATCGACCGCGCAGTCCCTCATTTCGTCGTGCTCGTAAATTTTCCAGCGAAAACAACAAAGGTTTGTTTACACGCCGCGTTTGATACATCGCTGTCCGTTTCTCCCATCGTCCGACGGAATCCGAGGGTGAATCAAACTGGTCCCCGAATAATCGCGACGCAACACGTGTCGTTCGATGAAATGCAATTCTAGAGTTATTCCGGATTTATTGGCTGGCTATAAACAGCTTGCGTACGCAATTGTCTTCATAAACGAGTAGAAATAGTTTTACGATCGATCGAGGTTTGGAATCGTTAACCTTCTATCGCAGGGATTTCAAAGAGGAGCCAGACTGTATTCTTTGAGGGCCACGAATGAAAGTATGGGAATCAAAAATTTCTGAAATAATTACGGAAAATATTTCCAACGTATTACAATAATTAATGTATGTTATACGAATAATAATACATCATTTGTCTTCTACGATAGGGAATTAATTTAAAACGTAAACGTTTCAAGAATTTTTTAAAAATTTGGAGATTTCCCATTCTGGGAAGGACCAACAAAGTAATTTTGTTATTCGAAATAGAAATTTGGACAGAATTGAAGATTTCTAAGATAGAATTGCAAGGACTAGTAGACTGCGTGACCGAACGGTGTTAATTTAGGAGTACATTACAACAAGTACATTTCCGCCGAAAAGTGCATAAATCGTTGTTAGGCTATTCCTGTCCGCGCCCTCCGAGAATCCCGCAAATATATCTGGCGAGATAAATTGCATTATTCGAGGGTCAATGCTATCGTTTCTGCAATCACGCCACGCATATGTTGCTCAATGAAATTACTCTTTCGCAGTAGTCCACATTTATCGCTGCCATAAACGAGGACGCGCCAGACACCGAGATTTCTTTTACACAGCCACGGGAATTAACGAGGCAACGAATCGGTTGTAAATCATGCGGAAAGACGGGTTCAAAAAATTCCCGCGGATGTTTCCTTAATGACCAATTTTTCTGCAATGAAAATAGCGAGAGAAAAACGCGACGAGAGTGAGATATCTCGATTTATAAAATAGGGAATGTAATTAATACAAGAGTTATCGACACGATGGACGATGGATGGTCAGATTTTTATTCCGAACCATAGACATTGTTGAGACGATTTAGTAAATAAAATAAATAAAAAATAGTTGATGGTAAATAGCAGTATAGTAGTACATAGAACGATAGTAACTCTCAAGGATCATTCTTGTCACGATTTTTATAGTTATTAAGCAACCATGAAGGATTTCAGTGAGAATTTTCGATTGTTTGTTACATTCTATAAATGAATTATTAACTGTTACGATTCGTGAAGGATAGTATAGATCGTTGCAACATCGAAGAAACATTTCTGTTACGATCTCGATTTTTATTACACGATCACCGAGGAAGCTGATCACTTTAATAAACGACCGAACTGAACCGATGGCTCCACCGGCGCGAAATTGAAAGAGATAGGGTTTTTCTAGCAGATTCCTCCGATAGTTGGAACACAATTTCAAAGTTCTAGTTGCACAAGCGAGGAGGAAGAGCGTTGTACACGCTCAATCTTAGCGAACACTAGGCGCTTAGACTTAGGGCAATAAGAAGACGCCCCGACAGCCGATCCTTTACGAGTAATCCCAGTGACTTAAAGCGGAACGGGAGTATGCAATTGCGTCGAGTACTAACACGCGTATGTTGGCAAAGTTGAAACGGCGGTCACGTAACTTCGTAACGAGCCTTTTCCTTCGGCACACGAGCGTACTTCGCCGGTAAGTGGTAACTACAGAAGTCAAATCGCACCTTTACGTATGTTTATCGGTATCAACAAACTCGTAAGATTTTAAAGCCACCGCAATTACTATTATCGAGCACGAATCGTTACTTCCCAGACCACGCCAGCGCGAGGAAGTTATCCCTCCTTCGCGACAATAAAAGGAACGCGATGCCGCAAATAGGAAGCTATTCGTCCTTCTTCCCCTTTTGGAGTAGCTCGTTTCCTTTTCCCCTCGTTAGTTTTCGATGATCTGTCAATTAAGTCGCGCTAATACTGTCTATCGATAGCACCGCGCAATTAGTGAAACTAATGTAGCTCTAT